TCCGTCAAAGTTGCAGATACGCTTTGCTGGCGAGTGCCAACAAGCACAAAAGTCTGGGACTTCCTGCCGATTCCCTTCATCCAACTAACATCTACCAGTTGAAATAATGAAGAATATTTTTAGCTCAGGTGGATGATCTTGGCTGTATTGTGTAAACAACCCACCTCAGAGAACACAATACAACCAAGAACATTTATCAGTGCATTGCGATGTTGAGTCAGCTAGCCCCGTACCCACACTGAAAAATAATCAATGGAATTCCATCAACAGTTAAGGCTAGACAATATGAATTAGGTTGCCCTCCAGTGACCAATCAATGTGAATTTTTACATGTCTTAAGTGAAACCGATTACTTTTCATAGCTACTGTACCATCTTTTGCAGTGTCCCATGATAAGTATGGAAAACCGTTCAGAAAACAAGGTACTGTACTGAACAGTTATTGGTCGGTTTGGAAAACACTTTTTGCATTACATCTGGAAGGATCAGACTTTTACACTGTTTTCAAGAAAATCCAAATTAACCACATTTTAAAGTGTTTTCGGGTAATCACCCCTTTTATGTATCTACATTTTCCACCGAACTTCTGACTGGTGTCACTTCTCTAACGTATACAGGAGACTAACAGATCACTGAACAATAATTTTACTCAATGTTAACATTTCGATTTTCTCATGAACTTGTCCAAGACATTCAACGTAAATATCAAATATAGTCATAAAATCGATAAAATGGTTGACCGCCACTAGATATAGTTTATATTTGTGTGTTGGAAATAAAATAATTGCAACATTTCTAGCGGAAAGTTAGGTGCGAGCTTCTTCAGAGAAGTAGTCCGAAACTGAAATATCAAAGATGCATAAATGAATCGAAAGACGTGTCTTAATCTCCTTGTTGAATACTCTTCATATAGTTGTTGCTTTTCTAAAATATGATGACCAGTCATTCAGTATGAAATTGTATGTCGCTTGTTGTATGATATGTGTGTTGTTATTCATATTCTCCTTGATACTAGATACGAGACAGAAAGGTCACTGGTAACATTATGGTCATTCAGCAATTTCATAAGTGCAATAGGGCATGTGAGGTGGATATATGTGTCAATTCGGTCGGTATTTAGAGATGAATTGTATCAAAGAAATTTTCATTGATTTGTCAAAATAGAGTGGAAAAGAGTGGTAGTAATGATGGTGATGACGAAAATAATAAATCAAATCAATCCAGATTGTTATTGTTGATGCAAAGATAATAAAGTTGAGAATGGTGCTGAAACTAAATGATTGAATCATCTTGTCTGTTTAATAGTTAGTAAATGATACTGCCACGGCCCAGACTTTCATTTCACCTTTAATCATCACAAGTCTGCCAAACCACAACTATTTCAGACAGTCAAACTGATAACTAATCATAGTCAAGAGGCAGCTAACTGTACCTCTACTCGTCTGTTCAAGCTATCTAGATCCGCTCATATATATAGGGTTTTGGCTGTCGATCTTTCTTGGTATGACCCAAAACCTTTTTGTGGAACCTTGGTTCCATCAAAATCAACTTTGTAGTCCATTTCTATGGAGTATAGAGCGATTGCATGTTTGTTTTCTAACTTCTTAACCTCTGCTGATATCTCTGGAATCTGCTTTAGATGTAATCTATGCTCCTTCGCCCTTACATTTGCCTGCCTGGCTGTCTCCATGATATATACTGCATTACAAATAGCGCATCTGATTTTACTTATATAGTCCTGTTGTTTTTATTTCAGTACTACATCTTCAATTCTCAGTAAGTAATAACGTAGGGTACTCGTCGCATATTTTTTGAAAACGTTTCTGATTCATTTTGAGGTCTTCTTGCGATATAGGATTATCGCTTTGTTAACCCAGTTCTTTGGAAGGAGCTTCAGTACATTCTTAATCAAAAATTCTTTTTATGAAATCTTTGGGATAATTATTTTCTTCCAGTAGGCAACAAACTGACTTTAACTCTTCCTTTTTATTCTCTTTCGTTATAACACGATGGTTAGCTATGCTGATCCTATTAGGTGCGACTGATACTTCAGTGGTAAGAAGATGAGCGGACTAATAATCCAGGTATCTACCAGACTGTGGTGATCTAAAAATCTTATTTTTGATTTATTGTACCACTATCTCTCCACCATATGGTCCATAAAAGTTAATTCTGATAAGTTGAAATCAACTTCCCTAGTGAAAGTAATACTTCGGCACTCCTTATTTATGTCAGAAAAGTTCAGCCAGAATATTGCGTTCAATGATAACAGATGCACTGTTTACGTACCTCAACCGAATTCTAGAAAGTGCAGAACATTTTGTTGCTTCATATGTCTCAGATGAATAAGTTACCTGCTATTGAACACATTGGAGACCTCGTCGCTATGCCATGTCTGTCTGTATAGATCTCTGAACATAACCGTATTCTAGAGACTTCAGAATTTCTCCTGGATCTAATGGACATCGTGAACTTAGGTCAGTATTTAAAAACCGTAAGTTGTGAGTAGCGTCTTTGAATTCACCTATAGATCTATGATATTTCAGTTTTTGATTAATTCTCTGAAGAAGCTCTTATCAGACTTCCATGCAATATGTTGGAATTATCTTATTTCAAACTAGCTGGGACATGCACAAACATAAACTATTTCTAATATCTAACTTTTTACTCAGGGCCAAATATTTGCTATACCAATCGATGAAATCTTTATGGTAGTTCATATAAAATATATAAAGAAATTAGTTTACAGTGAGCTGGTTCAATATTATTTACTCTCTATATTTCTCTTACAGGCCTAACAAGAGTTCCATCATAAAATATTTCACGTAATTAAATTATGAGTCACACCTATTGGGTGAATAGGGTGTGAGTGCCTTCTGGAAAAAAATTAGCAGCAGATGGTTAATTTTTAAAAGAGGTATATGTTTCTGGATATGGGTAGGTTGCCTTTCAGCTCTCAAAGCCAATCATTCATCATTTATACTTAGTAAAAGAGGACAATGTGCCTATCAGACCACGTGACATATCACTGGTTCCCTAAGCGTGTAATTACATTTTGTTGACGTAAGTGGAATACAAATTCAGATATAAGTATCGTGATATCACTTAAAGAAGACGTGTGCTGCTTCCAAAACGTGAATTTTCTCCCTTCGCCGATGAAGAGGTAGATGTTACGCAATGAGTAAACTCAAGACAGCAGCTGTGTAGCGTACCAGTTTTTCCTAACGCAACTAATGGTGTTTTACCTCCCATTTGACAGGAAGAAATATTCAACCAACTGTTTATGACGAGACTAATCAATGTGAACAGTCTTTTAATTTTTCATATTTTGTTTCGATAATTTTTGAAGTTTTCGGTTGATGACTTTATAATTCATCAAATAAAGATGAAGTAATGGTCCTAAATGATAAACTGCTCAGAACAATCCATTAAAGGATCCTGTTTTCGGACTTGTATTTCCCACTGTTAATAAAAGAACTGAATGAAGTTGGAGAGTGTGAACTACTCCAGTTGAAACCTAGTGACTCAGCAGTAATGCACCAATCATGAGGCCTAAATATTATCAGTTAGATCCTGTGTGGCGCTGCTAGTTCATATTACTGGTGAGTTCATATCTAAGAACAAACCTTTAAAGATTTGTGTTACTGTGTTTATGGTCCTCCGAGTGATATCAACTCACGCTGAAGGTTGCCTCTAAGTACTTGGACTAATATGTACTGTTTTTACAACATTAGTTGGAAATGGCACGCAGACTAACCAAAGAAAAGCTGAATTCCTCGGAAGTAGTGCCGAGTGTTTAGATATTTGGTGTAAATTACATTCAAAGCATTTACTTTTTTCACCATTGACATAGATAACAGATATAATTATATCAGATGCCTAGATCGTTCATAAGTCAATCGTTTAATAATGAAATACACGTTTAAAAAGTAGAATCCTTAGTTCAGTCTAGTTAATCTGAGTTTCTGTAACAATGCAACAGTGCACTGTATATGTATACAACTTATGGTAGACTAGATCCCTTGAATTTATATGCCTTTCGCGTTAGACTGTCACTTTATCCCATAATAATCCATTTCAGCAAGCTGAGCTACTAAATACACTTATTTGTACCTGAATATATGTAATCTCACAATTACTTATCATATGACATTAAAAATTTCAAACAAACGAATGGAGTTTGTGTTGTAAAGGCACTCGTCAGTTTTCTATATCCTTTTAACCAAGCAGGTTGATATCTCTTCGTTGTATTGTGTTCTCTGAGCTGAGTTGTTTACTGGTGAAGCCTGCTTACTTGTGTTGAAGCAACAACTTCACTGGAAAAACATTACCAAAAATGGTATGAGAATTAAAGGCTGTTAAAATGGTCTGACTAGACACTTTTACACCTTTTTGTTACTAAATCGTTTTATCATATTGTTCTGTCATAGTCCAAGTAATCACCAACCCACCATTCATTTTAGTTTCGGAAACTGATTTAGTTGGCTGAGCAAGCGTCAGCAGCGGTGCATAAACTATTTGTTCTAATCTCATATAATGGTAGAGATGGATATTAATTTTTCCTAATCAGATGATTGTTACTTCCTGATGATAAACAGGATTTCAAGCAGATAATAATGATCGTCGAACTACTGTAGTTTACAGTTTAATGTCTTTTTCTAAATGCAACCATAGAATTTTATTCCGCTTCTTTAGTGTGTCAGTGAACATAACTGTTGAAGTACCTTCGTGTATTTCGGGAAATAAAAGAAGACGTCTGACTGGTTAGAGGTTCACTAATACAAAAATATACGATCCTGCCCCGTCATCTTTTTTATTACTGTGCAAGATCAAAGGAATGCTAGTGTTAGTAGAAGACATCTAAGAATATCTTCTAGAGTAAAAAGCAATATGCTTCAGAGTTCTAAACTTAACTGACCCACGATTAATAACAGAAAACTTTTACATACTAATGTTATTCTTTAGATCCCCCAGAAAACAGATAATTCAGAAAAAGAAACATAAATTTAACGTAATTTAATAATTTACATATACACCCGCATATCTCAGAACAAATATGTGCAAAATATGGCTAAATTTGTTCAAGAACAAAACCAATATAGATAATTCTATCTTCTCGTTAAGTTCATGAAAAACACCTACTGAATCTTGTCAGAATTTTTTCTTGTTGTTGTTATTGTCACTGATGATACTTTTGGAGGATGTTGATACAATAGGTAAACTAAATAGTTGCATTACAAAAAAAATAGATAGACAGAATTAAAGAGGACTTTGTAACCAGAGTAATAATAGTCTGAGATGAAATCTGACAGTAAGAACAGTCTATATAGATCTTTCAAGTGTTTTCGGTTGTCAGTGTCACAACAGCAGATGACAGACAACAGTAGTAACAATGCTATATTGATAATAATTGTACATTAACATCTCTTACTTTCTTCTATTCGCTAGGACAGTTCACACAGTATAAATATATTGGCCCATCTTCAGTGATAATATTTCCGCGTTTTGAATCATAATAAACATGTATTAAGTCTTTAGGATTCAAACCAGATTCCAATCCTTCATGATAGGGTGAAATAAAACGTTTCAATCTAGGTGGTCTTGTATTATCTACTGAATCCCGTTGAACTTCTTGATGTGGCTTGTATATTGGTGGCTTTTCAAGCGATGCATGAAAGTCACAGGTTTCCACACTGACACTAGTATTAGAGGGATTTTCAAGTGGAGCTGTTAACGGTGGTGCATAGATAGGTGAAATAGGTCTCTCGATTTTTATTGTTGTCTCTCGTACATAGGTATCTGAATTGTTATGTACTGTTGAGTTCTGAAGCTGAACCTGAGATTCTTGGTTGTTTTCTATTGACTTTTCCACATTGACTGATTGCTTTATATCTGGTGATAGTGAAATTTCAACAATATTGACTGGTGGTCCAACAACTGGAATATTGAATTTCTTTTCAGATTGTTTATATCGATTTCCACAAAGAGTTGTTAATGTTTTCACCAGCTGATCTCGATCTGTACCACTTTTTGTACACAGCAGGACATACTGCTTTTCTGATTCATACAAACGTGAAGCTATACCCATGGCCAACAAATTGGGTGTGGAATAAAATGTTATTAGGCAGTTGACTTCACTCAAGTGTATACCATTCAGTATTGAGTTAGGCCACCAGTAAGCACCAGATAGCCATAATTCAGTATTTGTTACGTGTAATCGACTCCATTTTGAGGCTTTATGTTTATTTTTCAGTTGTTCCCCGTGTCTTTTGATGAGAACAGATGAACTGAATTCATCATCTGGATCCAATTTCACGTATTTTTTAATCATTACACTCACTGAAGCCACTTCTTTCCCTTGACCATTACGCATTGTTGTTCAGACTATTTGATCAATTCGATGATAACTAATAGACTATTGGAAAATATTTAAATGAATCAGTTAATAAACTTACTTTTCTTCAGTGACTGACTCTTTGCTTAATTAGGATTATTCCGTTAACTACTCCAGTTCACCTGATGAATTGACCAACGACAAAAGTTGAAGCAAAAGACTGATTGAAAAAAGTCAAAATGAGAAAAAGAAAAAGAGCAGATTGAAAAAAACTTGGTGTGTAGTTTGTAACTGCTATATGTGTGTGTATGGCTTGGAATTCGAGCTATTCTGAGTGGACAAAAGACATTCGACCTAGAAAGTACCAATCATATTGTTTACAAATCATCTGATGTATATAAACAACAAACAATTCGAAATAAAATTGTGAACACTATATGTATGAGCCTGTCATATTTGTAATCATATATTAACAGAAAAATAAGCAAAGGAATGCACTCTGTCATCCAAGCCAGTATTATTCTCAAGGTTCACTGCAAATAAACCATACGCCTCCAAACTAAACATACACACACATATATACACACATACAGATACCGATGAACTTACATTTTTAGATGTTACACAATTACGACGATGACTAAGAAGCGAATCATAAGCATAAGATCATACAGTACAGAAATTGACTGAATATTGGCCCCAAGTATATGTACTAAGGTTAACAGTGGCTTCAACATTTAAGACGTATATAATGCAGGGATAATGAAGGTAAGAATGAAACCAGATGTACAGTAGTTGAACACTAACTTCATAAGGTTGGACCTTCCCATCCACTGTACATGGGAGAACCGTAAAACGTTTTGATTAATGAATATACTTTTCATTGCCACTGTTCTCGGTGTTTGTTAGAAATTATGCTTCCATTCAGCAGCGGTGATCTGATCAATCAGTTTATCTAGGGAGTTGTGGTCCTCATGATGAAGTGGATATTGTATAGTGTAAATGAAAAGAGATAGATTAAAATTTCTCAAACTACACCCTCTACATCGAAAGAACTATGTCAGTTTTTGAGATATCTTTTGCTTTACCAACCGATTGTATGAAATGTCTTTCAAAGGTAGACTGTTTGTAATAATTGCATACATATAATTGTAAGCAGTCTCAGTGAATTAATAACTCGTGATAGAATCCAGATTCTCACAAGAAGCTACCAACAACAAGAACATGAAACTAGAACACACGGTTTCAGTAGTTTTCGTGAACATATTCAAAACCTGATTAAATGAGTCACAATTAGAAAGCTGAAGATATGCAAACGCAGGCATGTGGTTTACTTTTCTAATATCTCAAATTGAGGAGAGTTCACTAAGAGTGCTGTAAAAAGGCGACGACATGCATACTGCTCATATGAAATAACAAGACAATACTTCCTATCCATTTAGAAGACTATACGAGGAGACTAGTGACTCTGAGCTTAAGACTCTACATAATTAAACTAATATTACTAAAAGATAATTCAACGAAGAGATTTTCTATTCGACGAATTATTCTCAAAAGTTGTACATCGTAGTCATAGTTACAAAAAATATGCATCCACCAATAACTAATGAGTCAATAAAAAGGCATCAGAAACGGTGACCAACGTCACAACGTTTTAATGGTTAGAAGGTCAAATCAAGGTCATCAAAAATACCTCATAGCATTATAGTAAATAAACAAAGAAACGAATGAACTATCTCAAGAAAATTATGATCAAGACAAAACTAGAGGTTGAATGTACCTCCTGTGAACACAAAAATCAGGATTGTAATGTTGAACTGCAAAAACCACTGAAGTGTTCAGGTGGCGAATACGCATACGCTCACAAATGTTCGCCTTCACTTTGGAAACAGATTCTCGTGGACCACAGTGACCAGATATAACCAAATGCTGAAGAATCAAGCTGTTAACAGCTTTACAATCTCCTTTACACGGCCCTGCAGTATAGTATTCGGAGATGGGTTTGGATAGAACACGCTTTGTGTGGCCCATGTAACCAGTTCCACAAGAGCAGGTGGATTGTTGAACACATATGGAGTTGAGTTGGCTCAAAGTGGCAGCTTATCCTTTACACACCCTCAGATCAGTTGTTGACTGCAGGAAGTAATCTGAAGCTGATTGGAAAAGAAGGTCTTCTATGGTGCTCTGAACAGTCGATTCCTCATTATCTCTGTCGATGTATCATCTGCCGTGAATCCAACATTCACCAACAAAATCTTCTTTGGAACCGTAGGGGATTCTTCTTCTTCTTCGAAATCCTGAGGTCTAATCTTGCTCTCACTGAATCCTGAAGGCTAACAGTTCTCGATTAACACTCTTCGAGGTACTTCCAGTTCCTCATTTACTACATCATCCATACAAATTCTTCCAATTCGTGTACATAAGTGAATGAATTAACTTTCTTTCCCTGACTGGTGGAAAGCAGCTTTGGGAATGTGAGTATTGACCATTTCAGGTTTGTTTTCTGTGAACCGATCTGGTTGGGGAAACATGATGTATTCTTTTCAATGGAACGTCCAGGAAGTGGAATTGTGAGTAATTTTCAGTTTCCATGATGAATTCAAGTGACTGATAACGGTTATTGAACTTTCGTAGTATTTCTTGAATCTTAGTATCCTCCGAACACATGATGAAAGAGTGATTCATGTATCTTGTATACAGACAGAACTGGTCGATCAGTGGACGTTGTTTGCTGTTTTTCATACTGGGCATTTAGTAATCAGCTAAGTGAGGACCCTCATCCGTTCTTCGATAAAGTTCATTATAAAATCTATATTGTATATTAAAGCTGTATCATAAGTGCAAATTCTTCAGATTATTTTTGTGAATCCCAATTTCTGGCTTGATATCAGTGAACTCACGCAGAGAGCATATTGTTCCCGTCAAAAAGACATTTTTGCAGAGCGATTAGACATTCATTGAGAACATACACTCACTATACACGTTGACATCTCTCATGCAGTCAGCGAATTTGAATGAGTCATGTGTACTGTAATCATTGATCTGATTCTTCACTGGCTGAAGGATTTTGGTTAACCACTAAGCAATCCCATGATATGGTGAATTGTTCATGTCATCAGTTGGACAATGAGGAGCATCCTTTTTGTGAACGTTGGGAAAACTGTAGAGTTGAGCAATTATTGAATCAGATTTTTTTGTTATTCGAACAGCTCTATACTGATGAACGGTTTGCTTTTCGTCTTCAGAATTTTCGTCAGCTTTTTCTCTGTTTGTTCTGCTGGATCTTTCTCAAATGCTTCTTTCAAAGCTTTACTTCTAGAATTTACTGCTAGTCTAGATGAAAGCTCAGCAACATAGTCTTTAAGACACATGAGAAGTATGCCAACGTTTTTGGTTAGATGAACCAGCAATAGTTACTTGTTTTTCAGAAATTCATTAAGCAGGGCTTTATATTCTTTGGACAACAGTCGCCTAGTATTTACGTTCATAGAACGAAGACAGCAGTTCAGAATCGTTGATTTAGAATGCTCGAAAGTCTTGTTGGAGGTTGGAGTTGGATCGTTCGTCTGATTCATTAAACTTCCCAATTGAAATTTAATGTCAAGCTCATTTAGAGAAGTAAAAATATCACAAAAATTAGGGCTCAAAGAAAGTACTTTCAACTGGATTGCCGATAAAGTTATATGAGAATAGTTAAAAACATACTCTTCAGAATTTCCAGGGAAACGGGAGTGGAAATCTGTTGCTTTAAGACTTTTCATAAGCTTCATGTTTACATCTGAGATTCTTTTCACAATGGTATTTGTGTAATTCATGAAAGTATTAGCAAAATACGTAAGTCTTCAACTAAGAACCTTTCTGGTTTATTGAATAGGCCACTCCATCATACAGAAAACATTTTCAAAAAGTCATATTTATGGATGGAATTTTGCGTACACGAGCAAAATCAATTCATTATTACTGCACAGACCAAGAACGCAACAGCGATGCATGAAAAACTTAGCATCATTTAGAGAGTTAGCTATACGGTCTATTTCTATCAGAGTGTGTACTTATTTCAAACAGCTAGAGTATAACTGACTACGTATCAAATCACGTCTTTGTAAAATTTGCAGTCTGTGACTAAAATTTTAAAATTGTATGAAATTCATATATGAAGTTTCAAAGTGATTTCTTTTGAAAATCGCGAAGTCTGATCTGCGATGTCATCGTTTTACTTTGTGTATCACTTGTCTGTTCAATTAGCTGAGCACAACTGAGGCGGATAGGATAATTAGTTATTCTGAAGTGGTTCAGTTTCATTGGGCCACTGATGAACCAAGTGTTAAATGAATAGTTCAGTAATCTGCAGTTTCGGTTATCTCAGCGTTACTCTAAATCATTATTTTTTAGCAAAAGTCAAAGACAGCCTCAGTCAACCAGCAGCATATATTGTAAAGCTTTGATATCTCTGTGTTTTATAAAGCAGACAGATGTGGCTATATATCCTATGTTTGAACAACTAGGTTTCGATTTTAAAACTACTAAGAATACATTAGAAGGAAAGCAGGTTTAGCTATTTGCAATTTTGTTTAGTCGGCAACAACTTCATTGAATTTTACTTTAAATAACAAAGATGAAAATGGGTTTTTGGAACTTATACCGTGATAAATCTACTTATTAACATCAAACAATATTAAGCATAAGTATTTCTGAAGTACAAAGAAGGTAAACGATCAGGATGGTTTATAAGTCAGTTATTCTTTTCAAAACGGACCTGTTACAATCATAAAGTTCACCTCAGAATAATAAATTTTTAACTAGATGACAGGGATGAACATAAATAAATTTGCTTACTTAGAAAGCAAATTTTGCTCATAACTTTCGTGGTTACCAATTTTGGATCGAATATAAATACTTTTTGAAAAGTTCCACTACACTGAGTTGATGGAGTGATATTCTTACCACATAATTTGTGCTTTAAGACAGTTTATCTTACAGTCATACAGTTATAAATAGTATCATTCCGGCATCATTTGTACATAGTTTTGGTGCCTTATTACATTAGTTGGATGGCTTAGCTATCAAACTTCAGAGTCAAATAGAAAAAACACTATCAAGTTCTGAATGAAGTTTATTTTAAAGTGATGGTGAAAGGTGTTACACTGAAACATTCACTTAAGAGAATACAGCATCGAAGCAGTTTGGGCTAATGCAAGAGTGAAAATTAGACACTAAGGCGGATTTTTATTCGAAT